CTGCCACCATCTCTTCAAGGGGACTCGGAGTGACTTACATGAGGCCAATCCCAACAATACAGCAATACAAATATACAACATAGGAATACAGCAGTAAAATATAAAGAAAAAATTAATAAAATACAAGAAACAATATAATATCTATATAATCTATATAAATAAAAATGTAATGTTCGTTTGTGGGGTTAACATAACTCAAAAACCACTGGATGAATTGCCGCAAAATTTGGACACAAGACACCTACTAACCCAAGGAGTGACCATCAGTAAAACAAATGGATTTTGTCATTTGGGAGTTGTAGTTGCTTTGATTTATAGTACATGTACAATCAAAGAGCATTCTGAACCCCACCAATGATGGAATTGAACCAAATGTGGTACACAGGACTCCCATGACCAACAGAAAACACTAGAAGGGTTTGATGGGCATTGACCTTGAGTTTGGGAGTTGTAGTTCACCTACATCCAGAGACTCAAACAATGATGGATCTGGACCAAACTTGGCACAAATATTCCACATGCCCAACTAGGAACACAGATGGAGTTTGGGGAAAATAGACCTCGACATTTGGGAGTTGTAGTTATTGGGATTTATAGTTCACCTACAATCAAAGAACACGCTGAACCCCACCAACGACAAAATTGAGGCAAACTTTCCCACACAGATTTGAAAGGGACCCCTAAAGAAGGGCAATGATATGTTGCATGTTCCAGAGGAGGCAAACCAGACAATCTCCACATCAACACTGACAAAGAAACAGCAAGAAATATTGTTTACCCACAAGCAGAAAGAAATGATATTAGAAACCAATACTTTCTGATTACTTTATTTTCCAGATCACCCGACTGGGCCACAGCAACGCGTGGCAGGGGACAACTAGTATATTATATAAAGTAATATACTTCCCCAAATCAGCACTTACAAAAAGTTGACTCCTTAGCTAGTACAGTTGTAAAAACTGTCTGAATCGGATACCGTTTGAAAAGCATATCAACCTTACTTGGTTCTTCATTGAATCCTTTTGCTATTTTAAAATTTGCAAACACCATATAAGTTGGGACAATTCTGTTTTGCACCTACCAGCGGTTTAAAGGTCACCCCAACTTCACACGACATTCCAGCAGACATTGGGCCCGGAGGATCAAGGCTGCAGGGGTGAATAATAATAATATGTAGATTTAGATCACCATTTGAAAGCGCATTTGTATTTGCATCATCTATCAGCAGCAAACAAAACAGGGTTTGGCAACACTCAAATATATTTTATATTACATGTAATATTACAAATAATATTGATGATGCTGATGACATTGATGATGTTGCTTTTATTGTTTTTGTAATGTTCTTATACTGTTTAATGTTTTTTATCTATTATGTTTTATGTATACTGATTTGTTGGAAACCGCTTTGAGTCACCAATTGGCTGAGAAAGGCGGTATACAAATACAGTAAATACATAAATAAATAAATATTACAATATAATTGTATAGTACAATATAGTGATGTATAGCGCTGATACTGTACTGTGCTAATGGTATAATGTATTGTATGTATGTATATGTATATGTGTATGTATGTATGTGTGTGTGTGTATATATATATATATATATATCGTGTGTGTGTGTATATATATCTTGTAAGCTGCTCGGAGTCCCCTTTGGGGTGAGAAGGACGGCATATAAATGTTGCAAATAATAATATTAATATTAATAATAATAATCTATATAAATAAAAATGTAATGTTCGTTTGTGGGATTAACACAACTTAAAAAACACTGGGTAAATTGCTGCCAAATTTGGACACAAGACAACTCTCAGGCCAACAAGTGACCATCACTTCTTAAAATACTGAAAAACACAGCGCAAGAGACTTAAAAAGCCAAAAATAGATACATTACAACACATGCACAAAACCCCACGCTTGGTGGGGACGAGGGACAGGGCCTTCTCAGTGTTGGCCCCTCGGCTGTGGAACTCCCTTCCTAGGGATATTAGATTGCCCCCCCTCCCTCCTGACCTTTAGGAAAAGAGGAAAAACCTGGCTCTTTGAGCAAGCTTTTGGAACCTCATTGTAACCAGATAAACACAGTATTGTGAACGAATATGGAACACCTTAACGATGCAAATGGACGTGGATTTAAACCTGGAAGTCATTGATTTTTATAGTTTTACATTGTTTTTATATCAATTTTATTATGCAATTTAACTTGTTTTAAACAATGTATTTATGTGTGTTCGGCATCTAATTGATCACTTCCATCAATCTAGTCACAGAAGGCCCAAACTAAGTGAGAGGGTCGACAAACCCTGCCACCACCTAGTTTCCTATCCTCTCATGCCATCAACCCAAAACAAGGCCACATTCTACTCATGTTTACTTACTGCACAGTGAAAAAATCCTTCAGGTGTTCATTGACGCCAATTAGCTTGCAGAAGTTAATGCCATAGAAAGCATTGATCAGAACCATCTTCTTTTTATAAGTCTTACCAATGTCAAAGTCCTGTAAAGAATCAAGACATGTTTCCACCATTATAATCGAAGGACAATAGTTGGCAAGGATAGGCTGCTCTTATGTCATGGAAATCCTGAACACATGCAAGATCGATGCAAGAAAGCACACTTAAGCAAACATGATTTTGGGGGGGGGGGCTCTTGAAAAGGAGATTTAATCTGAACATTAGGAAGAATTTACTGACTGTGAGAGCTGTTCAGCAGTTTTCTGCTTCCCTGGAGCAATGGCTTCAAACTACAGGAAAGGAGATTCCATCTGAACATTAGGAAGAACTTCCTGACTGTGAGAGCTGTTCAGCAGTGGAACTCTCTGCCTCGGAGTGTAGTGGAGGCTCCGTCTTTGGAAGCTTTTAAACAGAGGCTGGATGGCCATCTGTCGGGGATGCTTTGAATGTAATTTTCCTGCTTCTTGGCAGGGTGGACTGGATGGCCCATGAGGTCTCTTCCAACTCTATGATTCAATGATTCCCATCCATCCTTAAACCCCTTGTCTTTAGCATTGGCATCCACGGAATGGTGCTCAAAATTTCCTTCATTTTTCGGACGTCAGCTCTCCTAAAGTCTAGAATGCGCGTTTGACTTGTCTTAAAACAATTACAATTACCTTTGGATGTACATCATTTTTTTTAAAAAATGTAAATATTTAGAATTTTAAAAAATTATAGCATGGGACTGTATAGAAGAGGATTCTTTATCAGAATGTGTTGAGTCCATCAGAATAAAGGCAGAACTGAAAGACAGACAGGGCACAGCAAGGGCAGACCAAAACAGTCCGTGTCAAAAAGGGAAAGATCAAAACCAAGACAGAAAGGACAAATAGTTAGGCAAGTCAAATACAGTCTGGGACAAAGAAGGAGAAGTCAAGTCAGGCAGTCTGAGTCAAGCCAAAAAACCAATCAAGGGAAGCTAGTCTGAGTGAAGGTTCTCTCGCTGCTGCTTCGGCGGCGGATGAAGAGAACTGGAGGCTATTTATACTCATGGGGAGAGTGGGCGGGGCTACCGCCAAAATTGATTATATGATTCTAGAACAGCGGTTCTCAACCTGGGGGTCGCGACCCCTCGGGGGGTCGTTTGGCCATTTTCTGGGGGTCGCGAAGCCGCATTGGCTGGCCATGCCCCCTCCAAAATGGCGGCCGACCCCCTGCGCCACTGGCATTCCCCCGCGCGAAGCCATCCGCCTGTCCCTCATCTCCTTCTGATGGCAGAAGGAGGCGAGGGACGGGCGAGCGGCTCCGCGGGCGGCTAGGCCACACGCGAAGCCATCTGCCTGTCCCTTGCTTCCTTCTGATGGCAGAAGGAGGTGAGGGATGGGTGAGTGGCTCCTTGGGCGCCCCTCGCCTGCTCTGCTCTCCCGCCGGCCGGTGGGGGGGGCGGAGCAGGCGAGGGCCTTTGGAGCAAGGCCTTCTCCAGGCGCCCTTGCCTGCTCCGCTCTCCCGCCGGCCGGCGGGGGGGGGGGGGGGGGGGGGGGGGGGCGGAGCAGGCGAGGGCCTTGGGAGCAAGGCCTTCTCCAGGCGCCCTCGGCTGCTCCGCTCTCCCGCCAGCCGGCGGGGGGGCGGAGCAGGCGAGGGCCTTTGGAGTAAGGCCTTCTCCAGGCGCCCTTGCCTGCTCCGCTCTCCCGCCGGCCGGCGGGGGGGGGGCGGAGCAGGCGAGGGCCTTGGGAGCAAGGCCTTCTCCAGGCGCCCTCGGCTGCTCCGCTCTCCCGCCGGCCGGCAGGGGTGCGGAGCAAGCGAGGGCTCTTCGTTGCAGGTGAACTATAAATCCCAGCAACTGCATATCCCAAATGTCAAGGTCTATTTTCAACAAACTCCACCAGTGTTCACATTGGGGCATATTGAGTATCTGTGCCAAGTGTGGACCAGATCCATCATTGTGTGAGTCTGCAATGCTCTCTGGATGCAGGTGAACTACATCTCCCAAACTCAAGGTCAGTGCTCACCAGACCATTCCAGTATTTTTCGTTGGTTGTGGGAGTTCTGTGTGCCAAGTTTGGTCCAATTCCATCATTGGTGGAGTTCAAAATGCTCTTTAATTGTAGGTGAACTATAAATCCCAGCAACTACAACTCCCAAATGACATAATCAATTTTCCCTCCAACCCCACCAGTATTCAAATTTGGGTGTATTGGATAACGTAAGGTAAAAGTTTTCCCCTGACATTAAGTCCAGTTGTGTCCAACTCTGGGAGTTGGTACTCAATTTCTAGGCCAAAGAGCCGGTGTTGTTCACAGACACCTCCAAGGTCATGTAGCTGACATGACAGCATGGAGTGCTGTTTTTGGGTATTTGTGCCAAATTTGGTCCAGTGAATGAAAATACATCCTGCATTTCAGATTTTTTACATTCATAGCAGTAGCAAAATTAAAGAAATAGCAACAAAAATAATGTTATGGTTTGGGGTCACCACAACGTGAGGCACTGTATAAGGGGTCGCGGCATTACGAAGGTTGAGAACCACTGCTCTAGAAGGTTCAAAAACTGTTCTGCGCAGGAATTACCATATGTGCGATTCACAGTTGACCACGATGGGAAACAGTAATATAATTGATTCCCATGTGAGGAAAGTGGGACATAAACAAAATCAAATATATATATATATATATATATATATATATATATATACACACATTTTAAAAAAATCTTAGAAAACTGAACTTTGTCAAAATAGCAAGCCACGACATAGATTTTAAATGCACCAATTAAAGCACCATACATAATTAACATATTTAAATCTTTCTGGAACAATTAGATTGAGCAGTTTTGAAAAAGACGCCCTCATTTATTTTTCACCCAAGCAAAGATCACTAACCTTGAAATGAATGAGGCTTGGCTTGCTATAGAAAGGGCACCCCTTAAATTCACGGCCACAAACCCTGTGTTTACGAATGATCCCGCTATGCAGCTTCTCCACATCTGGAGCAAAAATCTCCTTTTCCAGCTCAGATGCACCAAGAGGTTTGGAGTCGATTCTGTCATCTGTGACCTGAGCCATATAAAGCCAAAACAGAGTCAATATTTCTGCTATGAGCAACTAGCCTTGTAAGGGCTTTTGTGGACTATGAAAATTGTGAAATTAAAAGCATGAAAGCATGTAGATTTGTAAGGAAATTATTATTACCTCCAACATCACACACATACAAAAAGCCCGCAAAACAAAATCAAAAGCCACTCAAGCTGCAATTTATATACAATTTATAGGCCGGGCTTTAGCACAGTGGGTTAAACCGCCAGCTGCAGAAAATCTAGTTGATCAAAAGGTTGACAGTTCAAGTCCGGATTGGGGTGAGCTCCCAACCATCAGCCAGCTTCTGCTCACCTAGCAGTATGAAAAAATTATTTATGTATTTATTTATTTATTGACAGTATTTGTATACCGCTTTTCTCACCCCGAGGGGGTCTCAAAGCGGTTTACACATAAGCAATGGCAAAAATTCAATGCCAGTACAAACAATTACAATTATACACTACAATTATGTCAGAGTATTCACGTTTGCCAGATTGCTAGATTAGCAGACACTGTATGCGAAATAAGGACTCTGCAGTCTTTCAGGTACAAAAGAAAACTAAGTTTTACTAAGTACATCAAACACACGTCTTAACACAGCGAGCTACAAACAGGAACTAGTGGAAAACGAAAGTCTCTCTGCACAGCTGCTTATCTCTCTTCACTCTGGCTGAGATGGTTGACTCCCTTCTGTTCCCAGCCAGAACATGCATTATCTCATTTCTCTCAAGGTTACTTAATCACAGCCTCATGAACACTCTGCATAGCAATTTCTAACACACAGTAGACTCCATTTTGAAATTACATAGAAACGCATTTGAAAACATATACATAACTAAATTAATCCTGACAAATTAGACATAAATCAAATTAAAACAATACACCCATAAGTAATAAAACAATAATTAAAACAAGAAAACAGTCTCGTCGGTCAAATCGCCAAATCTGTCTTTCTGAAATGCTGCATACATTTACTTCTACTGCCCGAAGGTCTGGTCCCTAAACCAGGATTTGATTTTTTTTCTAAAAGCCAGCAGAAAGGGAGTGGATCTTACCTCATTTGGACTAATTTGTTCCTGCTTATCTTCTTACCTAATTGATTTTACTTTTCCCCTTAAAGTGTTTTTCTATTTTGCTGCGTTTACTTATCTTCAATAAAAAAGGATTGTTTTCCTACTCAACGTGTGGTATTTTAAAGTCAGAGGGCTATTCCTGTTCTGGAGTTCAACACAAACCTTTTAGCTACAAGAGTTGGTTATGTATTTAAATTTGGTGATTTCTCCCCTTTTCCACTTGTTCATGTCTCTTTTTAGTCTTAGCTCAGTTAGAAGTTCTTTAGACATTCATTCTGTCTTCTTTGCATTTCTCTTATTTCTTCTCTTTGTTGGTAGTATTTGCAATTGCGCCTTGAGTATTTCACTCTTCACTCCATCCACCCTTAATTCCCTTGTCTTTTAGTATTGGTGTCCACTGAATGCTGCTCAGTATTTCCTTCATATTTCAGGGTTATGCCTGTTCTGGAGTGCAACAATAGTGGACAGAGAAACATTAACTCGTGCCTCTAGTTTTTTATGCAATTCCTGGAACGATTCCATCAGTGCTGCCTCCGGAAAATCCTGCAAATCTCTTGGGAAGACAGCTGGGGAYATGAAGCAGGGAGTGTTCGAGGACCAGGACATCCGTAGGGAGACCAAGGTGCTTSTCTATAAAGCTATTGTCCTCCCTACCCTGCTCTARGCCTGCAAGACATGGACTGTCTACAGACTTCACATGCAACTCCTGGAACGATTTCATCAGCGCTGCCTCCGGAAAATCCTGCAAATCTCTTGGGAAGACAGGTGGGGAAATGAAGCAGGGAGTGTTCGAGGACCAGGACATCCGTAGGGAGACTAAGGTGCTTGTCTATAAAGCTATTGTCCTCCCTACCCTGCTCTACGCCTGCAAGACATGGACTGTCTACAGACTTCACATGCAACTCCTGGAACGATTTCATCAGCGCTGCCTCCGGAAAATCCTGCAAATCTCTTGGGTAGACAAGCGGGGAAATTTCAGCGTGCTGGAAGAAGCAAAGACCACCAGCATGGAAGCGAGGGTCCTCCACCATCAACTCCACTGGACTGGCCACGTTGTCCGGATGCCCGACCACTGTCTCCCAAAGCAGTTGCTCTACTCCGAACTCAAGAATGGAAAACAGAATGTTGGTGGACAGGAAAAGAGATTGAAAGATGGCCTCAAAGCCAACCTTAAAAGCTCTGGCATAGACACTGAGAACTGGGAAGCCCTGGCCCTTGACCGCTCCAGCTGGAGGTCAGCTGTGACCAGCAGTGCTGCAGAATTTGAAGAGGCACAAATGGAGGGCGAAAGAGAGAAACTTGCCAAAAGGAAGGCACGTCAAGCCAACCCCGACCAGGACCGCCTTCCACCTGGAAACCAGTGCCCTCACTGTGGGAGAAGATGAAGAGCAAGAATAGGGCTCCACAGCCACCTACAGACCCACCAGAACACTGATCCTGGAAGACTATCCTACTCAGCCAATGAGGGATCGCCTAAGTAAGTAAGTACCAAAAGGGTTACAGATTCATTTTTGGTCAACTTTAGATTTGGTTTGGTTATTTGGGGTGCTGATTCAGAAAACTGCATTGGATAAACCACATCAGCTCTAGTTTCTGATACAGAACATATGCCATTCAGTAGTCACCATCTGCTTGCCCAAAGAAAACCATATTTAATAAGCCTCGGCACTATAAGGTGTAGTAACGGTGAGGCCATGGACCATATTTTAGTTCTTGTGGACCAGTGGTGGTCCAGTGACCACAGGTTGGGAGCCACTGGTTTAGAATCATAGGATCTTCGATTTGAAAGGTAACATCCAGCTCCCAACTCCTGAAAAGTCCCTACACTGCTTCCTAAAATCACATGTAACCAGAAAAGAAAATGAAAGAAGGCTTTCCTTTCTTATCTGAAATTAACAATCTCGCTCCGCCAAAGTAAATTAACATGGTTGCCGTGCCGTATTCAAAAGGTTCGCAATCCCGTCTCTTTTCCACAGGAACCCATCTTTATCACAAACTCAAAAGGATGTCACATTCAGTTGGAAAAGTCAAACCAGCCGGCAAACATGAAGTGATATGTGTCTTCACAAATCTGTGAACCACGACTACGTCAGATATTTTTTCTTCTCGTTTAAGAGCGCAAATGCTTTGGGTCCTCCGCTTCTTTGACTGATCACATTCTAAGGAGAGCTTTGGCAAGCAGAATGGGCAGCAAGGGAAAGGGTTTGAAGCAGTGCCAGAAGTTAAGTAACGACTACTACTTCTCCTCCTCCTCTATACCCCGCTTTTCCTCTCCACAAGGAGACTGCGAGCTCTTCCACACAGCCACACAACTCAGAATATCAAGGCAGATGATCCGCAATATCTGCTTTCAACTGGGTTACCATATGTGCGATTCACAGGGACCATGAAGGGGAAACATGCAAATGTGAGTAGATCAATAGGTACTGCTTCTGTGGGAAAGTAACGGCGCTCCATGCAGTCATGCTGGCCACATGACCTTGGAGGTGTCTACGGACAACGCCGGCTCTTTGGCTTAGAAATGGAGATGAGCACCAACCCCCAGAGTCGGACATGACTAGACTTAATGTCAGGGAAAACCTTTACCTTTACCTTGTCATATTATATATATATATATATATATATATATATATATAGAGAGAGAGAGAGAGAGAGAGAGAGAAAGAGAGGCTTTTCCACATTTTTTGGCATCTTTAGAGCCTGTGCTCGGTCCCGGCCTTGCTGAAGAGTTTTCTTTGTTCGTAAACTTCCTCCTTTTTCTGATCGAAATGCCATGCCTAAAATACCTCCCTGCTTTAATGCAGTACCTATTTATCTACTCACACATTTGTTTTTGGAACTGCTGGGTAGGCAGAAGCTGCGCTAAAAGTCAGGCGCTCACTCTGACACTTGGCAATATTTATTGCAGCTTGGTGATTAACCTGCTGTGCTAAAGCCCAGCCCAGATTGCAATTCAAGGAAGAAGGCTAAACCCCACACAACATGCCATCCTTAGCATTCAAAAGAATGTCACATTCAGCTGTAAAAGTGAAGCAAGCCAAGTGGACTGGCACCCCAGGATAAACCACCTCTGCTAACAGAAACTTGGTGAATTTGGATACCCTGCCAAACAAAGTGAGGAATAAACAATCTGGAATGACGAAGTTTTCACCTTGAATATGTCGCACTCTTGATCCCAAATTCCCGTAAACTCCGGCTCAGCGAGACTCTCGTCTTCTTCTTCTTCTTTGCCTTTCCTTGGTGGGACCATCGCCTTGGATGCTTCCAAAATGCTTCCATCATCAAAGGAGTCGGTAGATGAAACAGGATGCCAAGATTTCTTCAGAAAAACAGAAATACTGGTCATGGCCTTGTGTGTGTTTGTGTGTGTGTGTGTATTGGGGGGGGGGTTGCTTCCACTTTTGCAGCGATTAGGGGTTGC